AAGGCGCATGCGCAGTAGAGACGCAAAACTGCAATGGCGCCCGCGTTGCCAGGCAATGGGAGACGCTCCCTTTTGCGTGCGCATGCGCTGTGACGCAAAGCACGCACGTTGCCAAGCAACTGGTGAGTCGCTCTCTGCATTTTGCGCATGCGTAGCAGCGACGAAAAACCGCCATGGCTGCCGCGTTGCCAGGCAATGGGGGACGCTTTTTCGGTGCGTGCGCATGCGCAGTGACGCAAAGCACGCACGTTGCCAGGCAACCTGTGACTCTCCCTGCGCTCCGCGCATGCGCAGCACGGCGAGAAACCGCCATGGCCGCCGCGTTGCCCGGCAACGGGGGACGCTCCCGGTCGCCCCCGCAAGCGCAGTAGCGGCGCCGCCCTTTCCCTCCTCCCAGCGCTCCCGATCCCGGCGCATCCATGGAAAACCGGGAGGGCGGGGCGGCTCCGGCCGCGCTCCACGAGATCCGCGAGCCCAGCCCCGGCCCCGAGCCTGACCTGCACCTCGGGGCTGCCGCCGCCGCCGCCGCCGAGAGCGGCCCCGAGCCCGGCGCGGCCGCCGAGGCGGCCTCGGAGCGGGCGGAGCGGATCGGAGCCCGCAGGAGCCGCGTGGAGGCGCGGAGACGGTGAAGGAGCGACCCCAAAGTCATCCCCAGGGATCAGGATCCAGCCCCAAACCCCCTCCCCAGGGCTTCAAACCAGGCCCCAGGGCTCAGAACCCGACCCCAAATCCCTCCCCAGGGCTCAGAACCCGACCCCAAACTCACCCCAGGGCTCAGAACCCGACCCCAAACTCACCCCACGGATCAGAACCCGACCCCAAAGTCATCCCAGGGCTCCAAACCCGACCCCAAACTCATCCCAGGGCTCAGAACCCGACCCCAAACTCATCCCAGGGCTCCAAACCCGACCCCAAACTCACTCCAGGGCTCAGAACCCAACCCCAAATCTCTCCCCACGGCTCAGGATCCAACCCCAAATCTCTCCCCAGGGCTCAGAACCCGACCCCAAATTCACCCCAAGGCTCAGAACCTGTCCCAGAATCCGACCCCAGGACTCCAA